ATTCGATCCTGAAAGGTACTTTAAAGTACAAAAGTGTCATACTTTGCCCATGATAAATACCCACATAAGAAGCAGTAACAGAAGATATGGATGAAGGCTATGTAATGTCAATAATCCTTTTCTTTGACTATTGCAGGATGCGCTTCTGGAAGAGGTTATTTTCGCCAAACTGTATTTGACCAAAGAGTATTGATGATTGAACTCGATAGACAGCAAAAAGGATTCTTTCTCACTTTTTCGCTGTATCTACCTAAATTTTGCGAATTACTATCGACAAATCTGATCCACGAAATTGTACTCTCTCACATGAAAATGTATTGCGCCTTTTCTGTAAATTATGGAAAACGATTGATAAAATTGACTCTTATTCATCATTTATTGATCACTAACGACAGTCCGTACAAAGTGATAGTTTATAGTATGTGACTACTCATGTTCAGGTCAAAGGTCCATCCACCACCTTGAATCCAGACACTGATTCACATACATAGGACTTTATAGATATCGGCACTTACCAGCCAATAGAACTGAAAATGTTGCATCTGTAAAATATTACTGTAGGTCAAAAAATAAAAAGTGAATGTTTTATAAAATGAAGTATTAGTGAATTCTTGACGATTCAGGTGATTTCTAATTATCCACTGACATTTACTTGACTTTATTGTACCGAACATTTACTCTCCAATATTTTAGTTATTCGTGACATCCCACGGATACAAAATTTCAAGCTTACGTATGATGAATCTAGCCGAATTTCACTAATATTTATTAATTGAGTGATTTGCGAATAATCCTTAACAGTTTGTACTGGAAATAAAAAAGGAGCTGGAACAGATGCTGATGTATTTATTACTCTTTACGGTAACTTAGGTGAAACAACTGCAATGAAGCTTGACAGTAAAAAGAAGAGTTTTGAAACTGGACAGTAAGATTCAAAAAGTATTTTCTATGATGAGAATTCTTTTTTGTTTTTGATAGAAAAGATGAATTTGCAATTGAATCTCCAACTGTTGGTGAAATATATCAAATTTTAATTGCACATAACAATAAAGGTTCAGCTCCTGGCTGGTTTTTGGATCGCATATTAATTGAAGATCTTAATAAAAATCATCTATATGAATTTCCATGTAATAGATGGTTAGCGAAAGATGAAGATGATAAACAAATATCCCGTGTTCTTTTTCCAAAACAATCAACTGATCATATGATAGAACCAGCAATACGTAAATATACTTTTATGTTAAGAAAAAACGGAAGAAATAAATTTCTTTTTATCGATTTTCAGCTATATTTACACATGTTGGTAAGTAAAAAGAAATCAAAGATGTTCGACTTGATTTTTTCATTAACATTTGATACAAAATCAAAGCAAAAGAATTTATTTCGACTAATAACGTGACTCGTCTAGCACGACCATGAAATTTTTAGCAGTGAAGGAAAGGACTTTGAGTGAATGCAATAAAAGGATGCATGGGGTAAACCCCATTTTAAATAAAATTATTCGTTAAAAAAAACGGATTTTATCTTGGTCTGCAATACCATCAGGTATCAAATATCGAGAAAAGAAAAATTATTGGCAAAACATAAAACGATATCTCAGATTATTATTATAATTTACTTTCAAATAGTAATATGAATCCTGTGTTTCAAAATAATTTTTTTCTCTGTTATTTAGTGACTTCATATGAAGTAATAGTGTATACTGGTGACAAAAGTGGTGCCGGTACAGATAGTAAAGTTTATATAACATTATTTGGAAATCATGGAAAACAAACAGAAAAAATTCACTTAAAAAATTCAAATAATAAAGATCCATTTGAACGTAATCAAACAGATATATTTCATGTACAAGGTGATTATATTGGAGAACTAATTAAACTTCGTGTTGAACATGATAATACTGGTCGATCATCTGGATGGTTTCTTGATCGAGTATTAATATTCACTTTCTTGTTTTTTTTTCACTTCAATCAAAATATTTCTATTTTATTTTATTAGATTGTTGTAACAGATCTTAATAATCCAACAACAAAATATATTGCAATATGTAATAAATGGTTAGCAAAAGATGAAGGTGATCGACAAATATCTCGAGAGCTCATATTAAATAAACATACAAGTGAAATAAAAAGAAGTAAGAAAAAGTATATAAATTGATTCTTTTAAAATATTTTTTCTTGTTTTTTAAAGATAATCAATATAAAATAACAGTTTTTACTGGAAAAAAGACCGGCGCTGGAACTGATGCTGATGTTTTCATTACTCTTTATGGCAATTTAGCTGAAACAGGTCCGATCAAGCTTGAAAGTAAAAAAAATA